TGGATTTTCAGTGGTCCAGAAAGGCGGATAGACATTTTTCAGCATTAACAGAAAGCATTTCCTCATGAATGCCTTTCGCATAACACATTTTTACCTCCCCCCCCCCCCCCCCACACCAAGCCTTTCACCCTCCCCGAAAAAAGGCGGACAATAGCACGTTGTTCTATGAGAGTACACTCAGTAAGTACAATCACCAATTTGTTTTTGTGTTGCAAATGCGCATGCAACATCTAGAGACAATAACGAACGGAAACACAAAGTTCCATGTTGCTGTCACCTAACGACATCTTTAGAACCCACCAGCTACATTTTCGTGCCAAACCATAATCATGTGTTACTTACTTATTGACTTCATCTCGTATTTGTTACTTATAAAGACAAATATCTGGTTTGTAACCACTTCTTCCTGTGCGTTAGCCCTTGAATGTCTGGTTGGCATGTTGTATTAAAAGTTAAAAGAAAAACTACTTTTCGGCCCGCTGCATCCGATTTCACTAAAGCCCCTAATTAGCAGTCTTTTACGACACGCTTGTTTGGGTGGTGAAACTCTTTTATATCTAAAAACAAGTCCCCGGAACAAACAGAGGAATGTTCGAACCTAAACACTACCAGGTGCATTAAATATAAATGTGCTGAATGTCATACATTTGCAGACATGAATTGGTACCCCACAAAATAGGGTACATACTTAAATACTGACTAAAGTATTTAGCTGTAAGGTCGTCTACGACTCTTCAATTGGTACCAGCTAATTTTCAGACGTTCTATATATATATATATATATATATATATATATATATATATATATATATATATATATATATATATATATATATATATATAGGAAGGAAATGTGGTGAGAAAGGAAACCGCCACATCATTACAAAATTTTAAATAATGTAACTCACAAAATGACCTAGTTACCTACATCAGAAATGAAAAATCCTTAAAAGGTAATAAATGTAATGTGTTCCTTATTTCTAAAAAAAAAAAAAAAAACCTAAATGCCCCCTCCCCACACCCACTGAATCAAATATAGTTTTCTGTTCAATTAGTAGCAATTAATTGTATTTTTTTTCATAAATATTTTAATTTTGTTGCCATTCATCACTTTATATTCATATTTACATTATTACTCGTTTTATGATGATTATTATTATTAATTTACTACGACACTTTGTTTCAATCTGACGACTATGCAACAAAAACAATTTTTATAATTACCACTTTGAATAAGACTTATGACTATTAAGCCAAACCGCTTCCCACAGCAGAACTAGTTTCCATTGCGTTCACGCCTTGTGAACGACAACTATTCAAATCATATGCAAGCAGTCAGGAATTGCAGACTACATCATTGACAATCGGGAGTCTCTGTGGCGTAGCTGCTAGACGGTCGCGTGCAGATCGGAAGGTCGCGGGTTCGCTCCATGGCGGTTCAGGACTTTAAAAAAATGATTTTGACTTCCAGGTCCACCCAGCCTTGAGTGTATACCAAGGGCAGTCCCGGGAAGTAAACGCGGCCGGCATTATGCTGACCCCATCACCCATCTTTTGCTGATTCGTCTATAAAAATATAGGTCTAGCCCTATACGCATATAGGCATGGAAAAGCGACCTTTACTCGTCATTAATTATCGATATATGTTGGGCGGGGGAGATGTGTGTTCAGTGACAAGCTGAGTTAATTAAAACAGAGTTGTATCTCATTTTAAAAAAAGCAATCATTGTGTTTCCTTAACTGAAAAATGTGGAGTTTGACTGACGGGGTGAAACTTTGCAACCTTAGATCGGGACAATACTACTAACAACTACCCAACCCATTGTGCAATAGGAATTCAGGCCTTAATTAACGTCCTTGCAATATAATAGTTCCAAGTTTACAAACTATAAGTAGCTGCTTTGATCAAATAATAACCACGAGACATTTTTTTTAACTACCACATTGTGCTCATCTTTTAAATTTCACTGACTTTAATTAGGAAAGCTTTGTACTGCTTGCACAGAACATCACTGTGAGCCAAGATGTCTAAAGGAAACCCTTGATTGGAGAGGCTGTAGGTGCTGGACTGAATTCCCTGCATCATGATGTCGAAAGGATTCAACAAGATAGAACGGAAAAGGGGGAACAGACAACCAGTTCTATGGGAATTATAAAAGCACAACAGGACAATAATGATGAATATAATTACCTGTGAAGTGTTTTTTAGCGGTTGATGCATTCTGTATACATAGTACAAATCCTAAATTTGTATAGGTCATTGGCCACTCGATGAGTCATGACGTCGGCGTTTGCTAATTTTATATTACTAGTTAGGTAGTAGAGGAGAAAAAAACAGATTTTGTAAAGGACGCTTTTTTTCCTAAAGTGGCGGTAGAGGCTAGTGGGAAGTCAGTGGATTATGCGGTCAACTCACGCCGATAGCCTTTATTTCCCATGACTTTACCTGCTCCAAGGTCAGAGTTGACGAAAAGATCTGAATCGATACAGATTCAAACCAGTCAGCCACCACCGCAGCTCCGAGTGCAATAATAGTGTTATCAGTTCATGCACAGCAGAAAAAGAACTGTCCCTCCTCACTTATGCAGAAAAGCAAAAATTATCAACGACTGATCAGTAAACTATCTGTATTGCAGCAATATGTCTCTGAAGAAACAGATTGCTTTCATACTTGCTATTGCGAGTTTGGCAGTAAGCGGACTGGCTCAGAAGAAAGGTAAGCTGTTTATTATTAACAACACCCGTATATATTCTTCCTGCTTCATGCCCTAACTATAAGAATCGTATGTCCCCGTGTGGGTTCCCGGGGCCCTGTTGTATGGAAAACAAGAGTAGACCCGCCGCCTACCCAGAAGCACGTCGTAAGTGTCGACTAATTGGGAGCTTCGTTCAAAGTCGAAATAAAACTGCAGGCAAGGAAGCAACAATCTGCATACAAAATAATCAAATCTGTCTAACGGATGCATACTCAAGTTCTGGAACGTGATTGCAGTCCAGAAGTGGATGAACAACCAAAACTTTTCGCTTGAGGTAACAGCTGGTGAACGCAAAGAAGAAAAAAAAATTGTATAAATGGTAAATAAGCAAGTGTGACAGAATCAATCAAACCAGCACAGTTTTGTTGACTAGCTCAATAGTTCAAAGCGGCGACAGCACATTTATCGCCTGCTTCTTTGGCCAAACAAAAGTTTCAATGTTAATGGTGTACTTGTTATTCGCGTCACTCGAATTGGGATCAGTAAAGTAATATAACATCTGTCTCGAACACAAGGAGGGAATATTTACGTTCCATAAACAACGAATGACCTTTGGGAGTGTCCTGTTTTTGCAAACTACGGGTACCAAATAACAGGATCTGAGAGTGTGTATTCGAAATCCGGTGTTTGAAAGTCATATCCGGCTACTGGTAATATCTGCTGATAAATTCAGCACTCCTTAAAGATAGGTACAAAAATATAAATCTACCTTGACGTCAGCATCGACCCGTATTTTGTCTCCGGGAGGGATACTCTTCGGCTTTTAAAAGAATATACACTAATAGTTTCTCGGCTTTTTGTCTCTTAAAAAAAAAAAAAAGCTAGATCAGTCACTTAACTAGTAACAAAACGAACTACTAACAAAATAAAAGCCACAGGTTGCAATCTCACGTCAAAATTCTTTAATCCTATCTAAGACTTGCCTGGTTGGCTATTCAGCAGTTGTTCTGTTGCTTTTACCCGAGTTACACACAGGTAATTTTACTCAGAATAAAATCAACACTTTACAAGGTGTGGTAAAGAGTCCTCAGGATTTGAATATTTTTTTAAATGCCAGTTCCTAGCTGCTTCTAGGCTGTATCCTAGTTCCTTTCTGGGAAACTAGGTCAATGGTAAATATGTAATTCTTCACCATATCTGCTTACTTTTTATCGTAAAGAATGCCTTTCAAGGCACGACAAAGATATTAATGCGTATCTAAGAAAGGCTATGTCATAGCTTACCAGGCAACTCATGTTATGGAGAGCTATTATTAACAAATAACGTCTGTTATGTGGGAGGCTATAAGATATTACAAGCGTATTTTACTTGCTTTTTGATACCCCTTCCTGAATTATATAATATGAAACGTGGATATTGGGAAATCTATTAATACAGCATACTGTTGTTCTGAACAAAGAGTGTTTTAAAAGCCCATTCTTTGCTATGTATTGTCTGTAAACTAAAGTCGAAAAGTTTTTTTATTTTTTTTTATTTTTTAGGAGCAATATAAAGCCAGTCCTGATTTGAGGATGTGAATCATAGACAGTCAGACGATTTGCGATTTAAAAAAAAATTATGTCCAAGCTCAACAGAAGTTGCTATATGAATGATCTATGATAAAACAACAAAATAATAATAAAGATGCCTTGAAAGAAATTAATTGAAGAGAGCGTCATGTGAAAAAAAACACAATTAGGCTAACCTCCCCCACGCGTCCCTAGGGCTGTTTTAGGCATACATGACTAAACCTGTGTTTTCTAGAAGAATCGGCACTGGGTTGGTGATGTAGTCAGCATTATGCCAGCCTCCTTTACTTGTCAGGACTGATCCTGGTATCTATTTAAGACTGGGTTGACTCTGTTTCTCTCTCTCTCTCTCTCTGTGTGTGTGTGTGTGTGTGTGTGAGTGTGTGTGTGCATGCGTGAGTATGTATGTGGGTGTGCTTATGCGCACAAACACTAATTATTATTACGCTACTCGTTACTTTTCTTTAAAAATAACCTTGGCTCCCAGGTCGACCCAGCCTTGAGTGGGTACCGGGCGCAGCCCCGGGAGAACGGCCTGCGTGATGCTGGTCACATCACCCATCGTGAGCCGATTGGTCTATAAAAATATACGTTTAGCCCTATATGCCCTATACACCTAAAGGCTTTATGTTTACTTACATTACTGTTCTCTGTGCGTCTCTAGTGATAAATGATTATGCAGTGTAACACAATGCATTAGCTCATATTGTTGTGAACCTTTTCATCCTGTGTCTAGCATGTGACTCATTAGATGATGGACCTTATCTAGCAACGACTCCTACTCTGAATTTGATGATTGAAGAAGCCAGCGACACAGGTAATATCATAAACAACATTATCATTTTCATCGTCACCATCGTGATCGCGATTATCATCATCACCACCAACACCACCATCTGTTCAAGGCTATATGGGAGCACGTATGCATTTCAAAAAAGCAAATAGATCATTCGCAGACATGTTAAGATCGAAGACTAACGAAGTGATCTGGCCGATGCTCGACTCTCAGAGGAAAAGCGAGATAGGCATATATTTAAACTGCTACTGGCACCATTAGTAGTGAAACTTTCCGCTGTCTGCTGAAAATGGGGACAGAGCACTTAAAGAAATGCACCGAGTGCGGTGATGTCGGTTCTTGAATTAACTCATCATCGTCACAATCATTGTCAAAGTTCATTATTTCCCGCTTCTTATTTTTCATTTATGTGCGTGTAGGATGCGTTTATTACAGCTAATACTCTGAAATGCCCTGTACACCTCAAGCGGTCGATAAATTTGATATATTTTACTCGCATTAGACAAAGCTTTTGAAAAAGCAATACCGTGTTTCCCAGAAAATATGAAAGTGTCTAATATTCCTTTTCCCTTCAAAAGATACCTTAGTGGGTCAATAGATATCTTTTTTTTAAACCTGTGCAGAAATCTGCATTTAAATTATCATGTTCTAAAACTATTGATGTGAAGAATAGCTTTTATTTATATTTAGTAATGCATAAATTATTGTATAATTTTAAAATTCCGTCGTCTGTTTCCATAGACGTACTAAATCCGCCAGTCTAGCTGACGGTGACAACTAGGTTTTGAGGTAAGGCTTATGTTGCGAGCATCCAGACAAATTTTGAAATGGCTTTTTTTTTCAGGCACCTGTTACTTTCGGTGGGGAAAAAAGGGGGCGGGGGGGGGGGGGGGAATGCTATAGCAGTTTTAACTAAAGATACAGCATTGATAGAGCAAATAGTGACGATAACGTTTAATTCTGAAAAGATAAAATGCCAGGCACTTTAGGTTAGTTTGCAATGGCAAACTACTAAACTTTATTTGCCTAGAAAAACCACACAACAGCCAGGGGCTGTTGGGGTTGGCTCTGCAACGTTTACAGGACGTTGCAGAACCAACCCCAAACAGCCCCTGGCTTTTGTGTGGTTTTTCAAGGCAAATAACGTTTAGTAGTTTGCCATTGCTCCTGGACGGTCGTCTTTCTTGATACCACTGTCAAAACCAGCGCAAGGCGCATGGCCCGCAGCTGGGTTCGAACCCGGCATATCGGTCTTACGTAGCGTTCGCATCGACTTCGCCACATAGGACGTAAATGCTTTTAGTTGATCTGAATGCAACGCTTTTTTTTCCCCAATCATATACACCACAATATTATCTTCTCCGTTTATGTGTACCACAGATCTCCAAACTGCTGAAAGTTCAGCGTCCAGGAAGTATTACTCCGAGCTGAGAATCTTTGGCACTTATACAACTGATTTTAATCTCACAATCGATGCAAATATCCAGGATCCCTTGGATTATTTCAGTATCGTTAACGAGGCAGGCGTGAATTATTTCAAACTCATCAAGCCACTGGACAGAGATGTAAGTCTTTTGTTTTTAATTCTTTGCGACAAAACGTTATGTATGAACCCCCACCCCACCGCCCCTTTTTGTGTCGTGCGGAATGAGGGGTACAATTTGCACTGATGATACTTTGCCGACGAAGAATACACTGAATATTTTGGTTACAATACGCTGTTGTGACCAAAAACAAACAAGAATATACGTGCATGTATTGTAATAAAATAAGAAGCCATGAGGCAGGCAGGCAGGCAGGAAAGAAGGAAGGCATTCAGGCAGCAGCAGCAGCAGCAACGGGTATGGTTGTTTGCTTGCTGTCGCAGAAAAAATGTCTGTAGCAGTAGCGACAGTATACACAATGGTATATTAGCAGTTGTTTGAGTGTGCACTGCCATTAATATTGATTGTTACTGTAATGGTGGTTGTGATAGTAGTAATAGTAGTTTATGTAGTCGTAAGAAAGGCTGCAGCAGTAACAATAGCTGTAGCAGTAGTAGCAATATCAGAAAAGACGAAGAAGAAGAAGAAGAAGAAGACAAAGAAGAAGAAGAAGAAGAAGAAGAAGAAGAAAAAGAAGAAGAAGAAGAAGGAGAAGAAGAAAAAGAAGAAGAAGAAGAAGAATGAGATCAATTAGAGGCGGAGGAGGAGAAAGGAAGAAAGAGAAAGGGAAATTGCAAATATTCAATGTCACCTGCTAAAATTATTTTCACAACATTCACAATTTGACGTAAACAAAACGAAACAACAAAGAATGATTTCAGTCCATCTTTGACTTTTGCGACTACATTGCTCTTTGACAGGGAGCCACATCATCTCCTGAAGACGATGTCAACTTTATCCCGTTTACATTGACCTGCCAGCCTACGAACTCGAGTTTGCCTCAAGTAGTGAGTATTCCTTTTTTCTAATAATCGTGTAATATTCAATTCTTCCCTGTGGCGGCTCCAGGGCCCTATTATAGGGAAAACAAGAATACACCAACTGCTAACCAAAAAAACATGTCGTAAGAGTCAACTTATTGGGGGCTTCCTTTGAAGTCGGATTGCATCTGCCTGAGAGGCAAAGAACCAACAGTTTGTATACAGACATATCTGTCAAACGGATGCACACGCAACACTCAGATTCTCAAAAAATAAGAAGTAGACGAACAATCACAACTTTCCACTGGAGTTTACAGATGGTGAACGCAAAGAAAAAGAAGATATACAATTCTTACAATGTTTAAAAAAAAAAACAGATGGTTGTTGTTATGTTTCCTAACTAATAGCAAAGAAACCAGTGAAAGAAACCTGCTAACGTGAAGAAAAAAAAAATATATATTTTTTTTTTTTTGCATTTGTACAGCTTTGTTGCTGAGGGTTTAGTGAGTACCTCTCACAACCCATGACATACCAGGGTAGTTTGGGCATTTCTGCTGTACATTCTCATGAGACAGCTCGTCTGCCTTGCATTCACAAATATGGTTAAGCATTCACAGAGCTAGAGAATATTTGTAGAGATAAACGATATTTAAGGTTAATTGCGTATCCTTTACAGGACGTTGCAGAACCAACCCCAACAGCCCATGGCTGGTGTGGTTTTTCTAGGCACATTTACGTCCAGTAGTTTGCCATTGCCTCTAGACGGTCGGCTTTCTTGATACCACTGTCGAAACCAACGCAAGGCGCATGGCCCGCAGTTGGAATCGAACCTGGCATCCAGGTATTACGAAGCGTTCGCATCGACTTAGCCACAAACGACGTTTAAACAACACAAAAATAGAAAGCTATCCAGACAACATCGGGTTTTGAGCCTGCAACCTCAAAACGGTAATTTAGCAGCCAAAAAAAATTCGTGTACTAGATGAAGTACATTTGTTCCAACTGCGATTATATGTCGTAATTTGGAATGGGTGTACTCGAATCTATGTCTTGTGAATGGAGATTTCAATGTTCATATTGTCTAGTGACAGATTCTACCTCTTGTTCTCTCTTCTACACATGTTTGCCATAAATCTGAACACAGTTCTTATATTATTTTAATGGTCTCAAGGGGGAGCATTGCTCTTCTCATCCGGCAGCTTTTGCAGAATGCTTTGAAACAAAAGGATTAATGTGTTACCTTTCTTCGAAGTAAACAAGGCAGGCTGAGGGAGGATCGTGCCGTACGAGCAACACATGGTCTCTACAATACTGCCTAGGCTTTGCGCTAATGAGAGGAGTAACTTCATCCTTGCCTTCAGTAGTTTTCAATGGGCAGGGATTCTTATACATGAAAAATGCGCAATTAAACACAATCTGGAAAGACAAAGGGGCTGCGTGGTCTCGAGGCATTGTGTCCGCCTCGAGTACTAACGGTTCTGGGTTCAATCCCAGGTAAGAGCTAGGAATTTTTCATGTGGACTTCGACTTCTTGTAATTCTACCTGGTCTCTGGGTAGTCGAGCCAGACGCCCGTGTGTATTGTTGCTCACGTAAAAATTCCTTGGCAGTTGGAAATTGAAAATATTAGCCTAACAGCGATGCCCAGGCAAAATTTAGAGTTAAAAATCAACACGAAATATTTCAGAATTCTCGCTGGTGCTACTGAGCCTGTGCACTTCTTCGCACTCAGACTTGGGTTAGAAGAAGAACAGAGCACTTACGGGTTACTACCCGTGTGCCATCATGTTGATCCGTTATTCAAAACCTCAAACCTCATCTGAAAAGACGGAAATGTGCCAACAATTTGTATACCTACATTCTGTTAAATTACATATTTTTTAACAGGTATACGATGCTCGCATTTTCATCATGGACGTTAATGACAATATTCCAGTCTTTCCTAAAGAAAATACGTTGAATTTCACAATAAGTGAGGTAAGTAATCAGCATTAACGTCATTATCTGTTAACCTTTCGAGAAAATGTATAGTCCTTAGTGAAAATAACCACCCTAAATGTATGTGTGTATGTAAGTTGTACCCCGCCAGGACATCACACAAAGCGTTAAACACCCAGTGACACAAAGTGCCACCATGCGGATGAGGATCACCCTTGAAGAGGTCCCGGAAACCCAGGGACTATAATTAGGGCACCCGTCAAGACCAGGGTGGGGCTTCAAGTGACGAAAAATGACATCCCACATAGGGACGGCATGTTAAAACTGTAAACGTTAGCTTTCAGATTGACCTACGTACAAGTCAACCATGAATTGTTTAGCTCAAAATACTGAATTCGTTATATACCTACCTAATTGATTTTATACTAGTCATGTATGTTGAACACTCGTTTGGGAAAGATTTGTCTAGGCTTGAAAACTCGATTGTACGCCAAAAATTACGGTATCAGCACGTACGACAAAAGAGCACCATCGCTCATTGTTCTGTCCACCATGTGATTACGTTTCTTTATTTCATGACGGTGAGTAAACAAGGTTATACAGAATCGGCAACCAAGAACTATGAAACAGGATAGAAAAAGTACTGGTGAATTATTTCATAGAAAGAATGGAAAGGTCAGAATGGAACACAGTTAACAAGCAGGTAGAGCGTATTACATGAGAACATCAGACTACAGGCAAGAGGCCGACCAAGAAATGTATGGGAGGAGGCAATCAAAGAGATAATACATCAACACTACATGGCAACAACACAAGCTATGCAACTAGAAAAAGACAGGAAACCACATCTAACTCCTCACTGTGACGCTTTACAAAATAAACAGCAGGATAATATAAAGTGATCAAATAACTTCTCTAATATCGTGTGTCTTCTTACTCTTCCGGTTCACTGGTTGTAAACTCCGGCTGAAAGTCTGGTTGCCTATCCACTTCTGGACTCAGAATTGTTGTTAAGGATGTAAACAAAAGTAGCAACTAACATTACGGAGCAGGACTTCAAAGTAACAGTTTAAAAAATAGACGTACCTGATACACTTGTCCCCTCGTTCTTTCTTCATTTGAAGCCTCATTCATGCTGTTGCCAGGGGCCCTGAATATAACCGGGCCATAAATATGGCCTAACCCTGAAAGGTGATTTTGGGACCTCTCCACGGACGATCCTCATCCGCATGGTGGCATTTAGTGCCACCGGGTGTTTATCGCTTGTGTGATGTCCTGGTGGGGTACACCAAGAGAGAGAGAGAGAGAGAGAGAGAGAGAGAGAGAGAGAGAGAGAGAGAGAGAGAGAGAGAGAGAATAGAGGCATCACTTTTGACATGAAACATAAAATAACAGCATTCTCTTATCCTTTTTTTTTTAAATCTGTGAAATGGTGATACCTACAGAAATTCGTCCACGAGTGAAGGTCCACTAAGGTCATATATTCCTCTCAGTCCAAAAACCTATAAGTGGATTAGAACATTTAAAAAAAGCGTGTTTTTTGCTAAAAACACATTAAAGTACTTCATTCACACTCAGTTTTGACCCTAGAATAGATTACAGCATTCGAAAGCCTCGTGCAAGAAAACAGCCGACTGCGACCAAGCTACATAACATATCTACTTTGTCGCTTGCACATTGCTACTTGCTCTGCTTCTACTGTCTAGGATTAACAACATAAAACGGCTTTTAGTTTCCTTTATACATTGTATTAATTTATACCGCCAATCCTACCCAAAAATGGGAAACCTACAGGTCACGGAATAGTCTAATATTTCAGGGGTGGTTGATGGACTGCAAGCAGTCGTGGGACTTAGGCTGCATACATTCGTGGGACCTAGGCTTCACTCTTCTAGGTGAGACGTAGGTGATTTGACGTTAGGGCCGGTTCTAGATGTTTTGGGGTCGTTAAAAGCATAAGAAAACCGAGAAGCCCAGTCTTGCCACCCTTTAAAATGTTGAACTGTCTTGTGACGTCATATGGGGTTATATATTAAAAAAGAACCCTTTTGACTCTTCCACAATACTCCGACAATTATTCAGACACAGTCATCGCGGTTCGCTACTTCAATAATAACAATAAGAACTCCACACGGGAGCATGCACAGCAGGGATCAACCAAACATCAGTAGAGAGATCCTTCGTCGATAATTGTTTAAGCCCATTACTTCTATAAGTAATTGCGGAAGGTGGGCCGACCTAGGTCATGAAGCCAGGCCTTGATCTTCCCCTACATCACTTCATTGGACTCGATATAGACACGACAATATGGTTACTTTGCAAAGAGTGCTGTGAGATTTGTTGTTATTTAGTCACTGCGGTAGCAAATTAGATCAGTTGACTACCTTTACGACCAGCGCTCACATGCTGGAATATACAACACCGTTGATATTGCGTGTGGTGTATCGAGCATGTCAGCACTATTAACGCTCCAAAACGATGCAGGACTGGCCCAAACACAAACCCCTACGAGAATGCTGCAACCTAGGTCACATGCTTTCTCTTTCTTGGATTAAAAACGTAAATGGAAGACAGTGCAGAAAGCTTTTCGAGCAAACAATTCACAGGGACACACACGTAAACTTCAGCAGAGTTGACGAGCCTAAGGAACTATGAATGAAAAGTGACCTAGTGTGTTAATGAGCTGAGCTAAATGACCTGCGGAGATAACCGTACTATTCACCCAACTGTCATTGTCACATTACTGTGTTCGTATGCACGGTGATGTCACGTGCTTAACACTCTTGACATCCTTAAAATCAACTGCCAACTGCCAATTACTGTCCTTATTATACAATTTTTCCGGTGTCGGTGGGGTGGGGAGAGGGGGCGGGGGGTTGAGCCTAAGGATTTACTTCTGCTTGCCTAGTGCTGTCGCCTCGGACTGTGCAGACTGGAATTTTTTGTTGCTGCCCCTGACAGTAAAATAATTCCCACTTTTACCAAGGATTCGAACCCGGGTTTCCCGTCTCAGAGCCCAGCGTTCCAACCGTTCGGCCAGCAGCTCCTCCTTAATAATAACACTGACATATTTACAAGACATTGGTTACTGTATTTTCTACAACATTTTAAAGGTTTTCATTTGAAGCTCCCCTGATATATACTCGTTGAAACAATTTCCGACAAAATGTTAATCTTTTTATTATCATAAAACAAGACAATAATTACTACTGATAATTGTTACAACAACATAATTACTGACGCTTTCCTGTAAACGCTTGTATGTCTCTAGGCTACACCGGTGGGAACTGTTCTGTTCACAGCTTTAGCCGACGACAAGGACGCTCACTTGGACAGCAACATCACATATACTTTGGTAAGTTCTGACAGTTTTAGTGAAAAACTAGGATTTGCCTCCTGCAACTTGTCATTCGTCTTCGCTATGTAGCATATTGCTCGTCAACATGTAGCACTTCATTTTCATCGTCTGCCAAATTGCTCGTCAACACTGAGCCATTCATCTTCGTCCTGTAGCAAATTGCTCGTCAGCAGGTAGCAATTCATCTTCGTCTTGTAGCAAATTGCACGTCACCATGCAGGAATTCATTTTCATCGTTTAGTACATTGGCGGTCAACGTGCTCACTTTTCTTCTTTACATTTATTCCCTTTAAAAAATAATAATAATAATTCCACATATTTTTGTGTGTGTCTACTTACGTGCTGCTAACAGTTACGTTTTGACAAGCTGAGCTGAGTTTACATCTAGGCTGCACTGTTTTGTCCTTTTTGGCCTAACAGGTCTCCTTTCTCCACAGGCACTCACGTAGACATTCTTACATTCAGTCGCACGTCCTCTCACTCCAACAGGTCGACACAAACTATCAAAACATTCGGCTTTCACTGTGCAACTGATGTTTTTACTCGGTGACTTCACAAGCTGTGCTCTCTCAGGCAGACTTCGTCACTTATATATCAATCGTTTGGCAGGAGTATTTTCTGCCTCGGACTTCTAACGGCCCTTCAGCGTCTGCGTGGCAAGTAACAACTCATGACATCATCTCGCCGTTGCTGTTCTGTTGCCCGGTTATCTCCGTTTTTTGGGCCCCCAATTGTAACAAGTGGTTTGTCACCTATCTCCACATTCTCGTTTAATCCAAGTATCTGGACTATCTCGGTGTTTTCGGTCAGCTTTGGGCCTTCCCCCAACCATCCTAAACTGGGTGAAAATATCCCCATTTACAATATCTGATCTTAAGAAATCTTTAATTAATCCAATTTTACGACATGCTTGTTAAGGAAGAGAAAGTGGATCCATTAATGGCATAAGAATATCAACAATAGCAATTAGGACGTTTATTGAACATGCATAACTGCGACGTCTGTGGCTTAGGCGTTGCGAGTCCGACTTGTAATTCCAACGTAACGCGTTTGAAACCTACTGCAGGCTGTGTGGATTTTTATAATCGAATTGGGCGTCGCAGGTCGACCCAGCCTAAAATGGGTACAGAGATTTATGTTGTGGGGAAGTAAAGACAGCCGGCGTAATACTGACCACACTGCCCACCTAGTGCCGATTGGTCTGTAAAAATATGGGTGCTATTCCCTAATGCCCGATGTGCCAAGACGCGTGAATATGGATCATTACTTTACATGCAATATTATACACACTGAATATTTTTTTTAACCGTCTTTGCTACCCACGAGACCCATCAACATACGAGCAGATTTCGGTTACATACAACATTATTAATTGTTACAGCCTCAGTATAGTAAAAATGTTTCGTTATTTCAATGCCCCACTCTGGGTGTTGTCGGGGGCCCTAAAATAATCTAACGGGTAAACGTCATTTCTAGGCTTGTGCCCAGGTAATTCTCATCGGAATGGTGGTAGTTTGTGTCACCGGGTGTTTATCGCTCGTTGTGCAGTCATTCATTACATACAAAATTGGGTAGACAAAAAAGACAGGGATTTAATACAAAATGGTACTGTTTGTTCTAAATTCAGTGTTATCTCCCGTGAATTGTTCGCAGCACATCATTCATAAAAAAAATGTCTTGTGTTTTTGAATCTGAAGTAGTCGTTGTAATGTTATGTATCATTAACTATGCTGTCTGGTGTATTATGTATAAACCTGATCAATGAGCAAGCAATTATAAATATGTCGATGTGAAAAAAGGTCATATTTCATTCGGAAATGGACAAACAGCTAGGTCTTTCCGCAAGGTCTTTCTCTATTACTCTTTGCATCTGTCCAATGTGTTTTCATTGATAACCAATAACAGCACACGACATAGATAGTGAACAGTTAATTTATATATCTATATATCACGTTCTCACACCCAAGCAGTACCAATCCTTCACTGTGCGTTTACTAGTTATTACATTAAACTCCTTATTCACAGTCTGTCTGGTACATTAACAAACTATATCACATAGTTTACAATCTCATTTTGTCTTCATCATAATCAGGTGCCTTAGCAGCAGGCGTAGGCGTTAATGCATCTTCACAGATCTCGGTCTTTGGTGTTCTGGATCAATTCCACCGATGATATTCCACCATGTCACTGTCTTAAGCCATCTACCATAATTTCTCATGGTCTTTCTCTGCCTCTTCGCGATGTTGTCCAATGCTCCTCTTCTCATCACACGACCGGGGGAAAAAATGTGTCTCCTTTTCATTATTACGTAATGTTCTGCTTTCATCAGACTGTTTCAGGTAATCATTTTTCTGGCAGTCCAAGGTATTCGCAACATTCATCTTAAGAACCACATCTCAATTGCCTCAAAACTCTTTTTAATTCATTTTGTCTAACAATATTATTTTACGAACCGATTCAGGCCCAGTCTAGGTAACATAAGTTTGGGAAATTTAAGTTAAATTAACACCTGCCTGGAACTGAAATAGTAAATAAAAGTAAATATTGAGACATTAATGTTAATTAAATGATTTACTTTTTGTTTCAACTTTTCTGCAACAGAACAACCACAACAATATGTTTTCAGTGGACAACACCACTGGGACAGTTACACTTACATCCGAGCTGGACTACGAGAGCCTTCCACCTGGAAAAACCATTTCCCTCATCCTGATAGCTCAGGTGAGTAATATATTCTGCGTGTCGATTCGATATTCTAACGCTGACTTGTTAACAGTGGCGTAGCGAAGTCAAAGAGAAGTTTCCATCACCTCCCTCCGCCCTCACATATATCATTTTACTTGAAATACACATGTGCCTTTATACCGCCCGACCTAGTGGTGACACCCGGGGCGACTCGCAACCCCTGCAACTTACTCCTTCTCCATTTCTACGCCACTTGTTTTCTGCATTTGCCTTTAAGAGAAGGAATGAAGTATTCACAGAGTTAGTCATCATCATCATGACCATCTCATGTTGATTTTATTGTATATTACCTTGTCCAGGTGAAACAGAATTGGGCTGCATAGTGCCTTTTTGTGCGCTTCGTAAATGGGGATTCACAAAGACTCGCTGTGTTCCTCTGTCCATCGTTTCCATTTCCAGACTCTCTTTTAATTCCTACTGTGTCTGTACATCAATGCTTGCTTTGGCATAATGACTGTTGGCAGCCGAGGTAAATAAACACATCGTTTCAAATGTTATTTCTATAATCTTATTCCTCTGCCTACATCCAAAGATGAAATTTCCTTGTGTTCGTTAGCAGCATAGCTGCTATATTTACACCTTTGGGCCAACACATCCGACTTCTGCGGGCATTTGTTGACTGGCTTAGCCTTCCAAGCTTGTGTGGTGTGTGTGTGTGTGTGTGTGGTTGGTGTGTGTGTGGTTGGTGTGAGTAAGTGTGTGTGTGTGTATGTGTGTGTGTGTGTAAAATAATTTTCTGTCGTACTGTGTGTTTATTATGAAGAGGTCATGTGCTTGGTTGGTGGTAATCTCCCCCCTCTACATAGAATGGGTTTATAGATTGCCGTCTTTGTCTTATAGCCATTCAAATTTAGTGCTTCTCAATTTCCCATCTATTAAGGATTGATTGATTGATGTTCAAGCTCACCAGGACACACTGAGCGATAAAAACCTGATTTACACAAGGTGCCACCATTCGGATGAGGATCACCCTTGGAAAGGTCTCAGAAACCCCGTTCAACCGTTAGGTTATATTAGGGCCCCCGGCAACAACCAGGGTGGGGCTTCAAAATAAAACATTCGTCCACATGGGAATGAGGTTAACGTTTCTATATTAAGGATACTTAAACAGTTCGTAATTGGATTTTTAAACTACATAATTTTGACTTCCACAATTTGTTGATTTTTAAAAGCTGTTGTTTAATTAAATGTACTCACCGTGAATACTATACTCATTTTAGGACAGCGAACTTGGAGTCACTTACAGCGTCACTGCGACAGCCACCATTCAGGTTACTGACGCTGATGACCAGGGACCTGCTTTTATATACCAGGGCTGTTTTACTTACAAGAGTGTGTGTGCCTGGCCCAAGTACACAACTGGGCGTTCACTGATAAAGGTAATTAACTCTGTCAGTCCCGTACAGGTATCATTTTAATCGTTTTATTCTTAAGAATTAGTTACCTTCAGTAATTTACCTTTAGTTCCCGTAACGCTAAATTAGTAACCATGAAAATGAGGTGTCTGAGAAAGACTATCAGTGACCGGAAGAGATAAAATCAGAAATGAGGTCATACGAGATAAAGTCGGCACAGAACCAATTCTTAATTACATACAAAGACAACAAATCAAATGGTTTCCTCGCTTGGAGAGAATGTTTTCTGATGCTATACCATACAATGTATATACTAAAAGAGAAGAAAAACGTATATCAAGTGGTAGACCAAGAAGAAGATGGGAAAATAACATCAGAAAAACTCCACAGCACTACGAAGTGTCTATGGTCGAAGCAGCCAGAAGAGCACGAAGCAAAACCCTATATATCCCTGGACACTTGAAGCGGTAAAAGAGGATATAAAGAAGAAAAAGAAGAAGAGGAGAAGAAGAAGAAGAAGAAGAAAGAAGAAGAAGAAAGAAGAAGACGAAGAAAAAGAAGAAGAAGAAGAAGAAGAAGAAGAAGAAGGAAAAGGTTAAAATCCCAATGCCAATAGAATAACAGAATAACATTCAGTTCTCATGGTTAATAAAAACATCACCTTGGGACTAAGGGGACTGAGTAGTCTCGAGGCATGGTGCTGCCTTGAGGGCTGGAGGTGCCAGGTTTGGGCCCCAGTGAAGTCTGGGTTTTTTTCACGTGAACTTCTGGTAATTTCCCCTGGTCTCTGGATAGTAAGATCGAACCGCCGTGTCTATTCTTACGCACGTAAAACATTCCTTGGCAGTTGGAAACCGAAAGAGTAGCCTAATGGCGCTGCCCGGGCACAATTTGGAGAACAAAATCTACCCAAAGTATTTCAGGATCCTCGCCGGTGCAACGGAGTTTGTGCACTACGCTCAGTTTATTGGAACTCATATTGTAGTTAAAAGTAGAATAGGATATGCATGTGTTACACCCCTGTACCAGATGTCCATCTATTAAATAAACAAACAACTCCTCAGGAAACAGAAAGTTTAAAATGCATATTGTTAAGGGGTGATTAGCAAATGCACGGTGAGTATTTCAGAATCCTCGCTGGTGCTACAGAGCCTGTGCACTGTGCTAAGCTTCTTTAAACTCAAACTTAAGTTAAAAGAAGAACGGAGCACTTATGGGTCACACCCGTTGTCATGATGTTGATCCGTTGTTTAAAACTTCAGAGCCTCAAACCTCACAGTAAACCATAAACTCCAGATAGGCTATTTGAACAAAGATTCCGAATGACATTTTAGCGATGCTTTTCGTAACGAATTATTCCTAAGTCTCTGAGTTACATTTCAAATGCATTATCCAGGACAAGCCAATCCAAGTTGAACCAGTGCCAAACAAAGGTCAAGGACCAGTTACAATTAAAGCAGCTGACCTTGATGTAGCAATAGGAAATATAATCTCGTTCAGCATTGCATCAAGTAAGTAGTTGACACATTGTGGCCTGTTGCAGATGATTATCTCAAGCTCTTAGTCTTTCTTTGTTTTATTTTGTTCTTGGTTATTTTTTTAATTTTTTTTTTACTTTCCCGTTTTTTTTCGAGGGTATATGTATCTGCCTTTCATTTTTTAATACGTATGTTCTTCCCTTCCATTTTTTTATTTATCAGTGCGTCGTTTTTATTTATGTCTTTCGTTTTCGCTATTACCTATTTGTCTAACTCATTATTTTTTTCGGCAAAGATTTCCAATAAAATAAGACCTTGTTAACTTGTATGTTTAGATTTGATCGACCTGCTAAACCATGAATGCAAACACACACACACACACACAATGTTATCACAACTCCCACTGTTAAAGAAGAAGGACAGGTAATATCCCAACACTTATAAAGGGAGATAACTTCAAAAATATACATTTTTCAAAATAATTCTTCAAAGTACGTTTGCAGTAGGACATAGGAACCTTTTTGAAAATAGCACTGTTGCAAGAAGTCCCCCCTCCCCCCTCCCCCCCCCACCCCCATTTTTTCCCCATAAAAAAGAAGGGAGATGTAAAGCAATTGTGAAAGTTAGTGCATTTATACTGACGGATAAAAGAAATCGAGGCCGACATCTAGTACGATATAAAGATGTGCAAACGGGACATAAATTACAAATTATTCAGAAGCACATACATTATTCTAGTCATCCCCTTCTAGGGTGCAATTTTTGGCTACTCTGAAGCTTACCCTGGCTCTTGCCAGTGGCCGCAATATAGCCCGGTCATAAATTTGGTCTAATGAATGCACGCGGTTTCCGGGACCTCTCCACGGTGATCCTCATCCACATGGTGGCACTTGTGTATGGGGCACACCAGAAAGGAATAAGAATGAATGGAGAAATGGTTGCAGAAAGGATTAAGTCTAAGTATAAAAAGAAACAGACTAAACACAAAAATGTTCTTTATAACATCCTGAAATCCCCTTCTATAATTTTTTTTTGGGGGGGGGGGGTGGGTGGGTGGGAGCGGTACGGGGTGTGGGGTCTTGTATTATACTTTAGTCAGAGCGAAACGGGGGAATAGGCTGCAATCCCTAAATAACTTTTAAACTGCACAACAGTAAAATGATGACAGTAGTAATGATGATGATACTGATGATGATGGTGATGGAGACGATGATGATAATGGAGATGATGATGATGATGATGATGACAACTGTGTTCACCATCTTTTAAACATCTTTTCATCGCAGCCATACCTCCAGGTTCCGAGAGCAAGTTCCGTATAGATACAACTAAACTGGAAAACAATGAGTATGCAGCCAGTATTGTACCTTTGAGCGACATGACAGTCAACGAAGGATTTGAGATATTTCTTACAGTATGTATTTCAATGTGAACGGGTAGAACTATTATTTTTATTCATAGAATGATTTATATATTGATCTGTTGCTCCTCTCTCTCTCTCTCTCTCTCTCTCTCTCTCTCTCTCTCTCTCTTTCTCTCTCTCTCTCTCTCTCTCTCTCTCTCTCTCTCTCTCTCTCGCTCTTTGATTATAACATTTTGATTTCCACATTAAAGCACGATATTTTGTGCAATATACCATGGCTATTTGATAGGTGCTAGCTTCTAAACTATGGGGGATACGGAAAGCAAGGAAAAACAGCTGAGATATGCATCTCATGAAACTCATAATTGTAACACTGTAAAGTATATTATAAGGCATTAGCAATACTTGATACATCAGAAGTTTTGAAGATTCTTGGAAGATGGAGGCAGGGGTCGACTAGCATTATGTGGGGACAGTGTATCATGAACAACATAAACATTAAAGTCAAAAGCGAGGTTCTCTAAAGAACCTGTCAGATGATATTGACAGTGCTACATGTTTGGAGCTTATAGAAACCATGTTCAGGCTTTATACCCTAATATGCTTTTGTTCTTATGATTTGTGTGCTCTTATAAGTCACAAATGGTTATGGGATGGCAGGAAAATGTAGTTT